GAGGGGTTAGCAGCTTCCTGAGGACTAGCAGGGACAGAAGCTGCCCGAGTCGAGGAGTACTTGGGGCCGTAGTCTAGAAGCTATGGTTCTGAAGGTCGGGAGGGTTGGTGGTACGGGTTGGTGGCACCGAGCAGGAGCAGGAGTCTGTGACAAGCACGGGTCAGCGCCGCAGGCACAAGCCGGTGATTTCCAGGGGCTGAAGTCTTGCATGACTTGGGCATTCCTCGCTCTCTGAATGGCTCTCAGGAGGTGGGTGAGCGTGAGCACAGGAGCAGCACCGACACCCATGGGAGCTGGGGGTGAAAGCGGGGTGGGAAATGGGAAGCCCCGTTTACTCTGAGCTGGGGCTGGGCTGTCCCTGGATGAGGGAGAAATGGCCTTGGCTGGGATCTTACGGCTGGAAGCCTTGAAGGATTGACAGGTTGTCAGTGAGACCTACGATTTACGCTGTCACTGTGGAACTAGCCATGTACCTCAGGGAGCAGTGAATTATAGTTCTGCACATTAGAAGTTTTCAAAACTACGGCTCCTGGGCTCCAACTCTGATCATTTAAGGTGGACTCTATGGGAAGACGGATGGGGCCTAGGCATACACGTGTTTAAAAAATGTTCAGTGGTTTTATTCTTTTACATTTTTTATTCTTTTGCTCTTTAAATTTTAAAGTTAGTTTCTAAATAACTGAAGTAATAAGAAGTTTTAATTATAACTAAAAGAAAGATGGAAGAAGTAGCACCCTCCCGCCCCTTTCTGCAGAGGGCTCACATGTACGAGGGCTGCACCATCTGTGGTGGGGACAGTCACCTGCCACCTCTCCGAGTCCATGAAGGGCAAGGTCCATACAGGAACCTGCATGGACCACAGATGGGGGACCCCCGAGGTACCCCACTTGACCTACTTCTGTACACAGCACGTAAGCGAGGACTGGGCATCCCCACTCCCTGCGTCTCCACCACTGCCCCTCCCTCCTCCTCTGTGAAGGTATGCACGGGTCCTGGGTCATTCCTGCAGGCTCTACCAATGTCACCATCTTCTTCTCTTAGTTTTTTTGACATAGGGCACGTGTGCTCACTGGAGAAAAACAGAGAGGAGAGAGAGAGAGAGAAACTGAGACATCATCCCCCAGGGAGGATGGCCACGCCACAATGCCTTCTCCTTCATTCTCCTCTTGGGATTTTGGGCACACACACACACATGTGCCTAGCATGACTTTCAAGCAGTTGGGCCTGGGACTTGAACTGAGTTTGGCCATGTGGGAATCCAGGTCTTTAACCACTATGCCACCTACTAGCACTGTCCTTTATTTTTTATCGATCCACCCCTGGCATGTACAAGGTGCCCAGGGTGGGAGGCATGAGGGTCCTGTGGCTGCCGCCTGCCCCGGCCCAGCTACGTGGTCTCGCTGTGCTCCTTCCCACCGTGTCTCTCCTAGAGTCCTCGTGGTAGAACTAGGCACGAGGGGAACCACTCGGTCCGAACGGCGCTAACAGCGCACTGGCGTGCTGGACGTGCACACTCTCTTAGACATAACTTTTACTGTGGCAGCGACCTTTCAGACCACCATTCATTGAAGGAATTTAACTTTGTTTTTCTGAAACTTAAATTCCTCTTGAGTCCCACACCACTTAACAGGAGAAAATATCTAGGCAGTTTTTTCAGCAGAGCCGTAAGCAGCGAGTAGCAATGACGCCACAATCCCAGAGAGATGTGGGTCCCATGCTCTGGGAAGGGGCTCTTGGGGGGGCTGGGAGGAGGGTGGTCCCATGTCCACGGGGCCACGTGGCAGGACACACAGGCCACGTGAGAAGGCCCAAAGAACAGCCAGAACAGGGGAGGTAGAAACAGTGGCTGAGCTGCCAGGGGCTGAGGCCGCACCGGAAGCCAGCAGGGAGACCTGCCCAGTGCTGTCTGGCCCCAGTGGTGTCCTGCAGGGCTGCAGCAGTTCACCAGAGCGTCAGTATGGACAGCGTAGCAGGCACGGCAGTGTGGACGGCTCACTGGGGGCAGGCACAGCCCGGAAGGCCTGCCTTTAAGTTTCAAAGAGCCAGGTGGGGTCTTTGCACATGTGGAAATACCACAGCGAGAGCACCCTGGACACGGCTCTGCTGGGGCCCTCTGCATGCCCACACTTACTCCCTGTGCCACAGAAGGCCGCGCTGATGCCCCCGTGCTCACTGATGCTCGCCGGGACCTGCAGGTTCTTCTCGGCCATGGCGACTGCTGGACTCGCTGTGGCTCTTTCTCCAGGACATTGAACCTTTTTTCTTTCTTTAAGATTTATTTTTTTAATTCTGGAGTAGGCAGGTGGCAGGGTTAGAGGCACTGGACTCCCACGTGGCTGACTGCAGTTCCAGTCCTGGACCTAGTGGCTTGCTTTCTCACTTTCTTTCTCTGTTTCTCTCTGGTCAGATTAAAAAAAATAATAATAGTAAGTTAAATTAAATAAAATAAATGTATTTTATTATTATTAAAATAATAATTTAAAAAAATTAACTTTATTTACTATTATTATTTTTGAATTTGTCATAGAGTGCATACACTCATGAGAGAGAGAGAGAGTCAGAGAGAGAGAGCTTCTGGTCTGGGACTCGAATCATGGTAGTCTAGTGCCCGAACCACACCACCTGCAGGCCCCGAGACTGGCCCTTTAATGGGGAAGGCAGGTCTGAGCTAAGCATGCTGACGTGTCCTCTTACAACTCTGGCATCTACCAACGGGGGCTAGTGCCTCCTGGGCGTACGCCAGTGTGACGTCTGGGGAGCTGCAGGCGGACCACCCTCTTACCCCCCAGGGTCACCACCTTCTTTTCCAGTAGGGAAAATAACTCCCGTCCCTTCCTGCCTTTGAATTTTTCCTGGCAAACAAGCAGCTGAGTGAGCCGCGAGCCCCTCAGGCCGTGCAAACGGCCTCCGACCACCGACCCGCTTAATGGAGAGCTCCACCAGGACCCATGGCCTGCCTGCGCGCTGTGCCGTCAGCGGCCTGGCTGCGCTCACTGCACCCCCGCATGGACTCCTAACTTTTTTCCGAACTTCTAGGCCTCTGTCACTTGGAGTCAGCGGGAGGCAAGCGCCACCCTGAGAACAGCCACGATGGCCAGGCCAGGGGCGGTCTCCAGGCACCCGGTGCTCGCTCCTTCGTGGAATGGGCAGGGGACGCCACTCCTGTCTGTGAGGTATTCCTTACGGCCAGTCCAAGTCAGGCAGATGTGGAGCCTCGCTCACGGGAGACTGACGCTCCCGGGTCTGTTTGCAAGCAGGACACTAGGGGGCTCCCAGGGGCTAAAGACACGTGGAAAGTTATTTGAATGAAAACCGTTTCTGTGCATTTATTTTTTCGGACCTTGAAATTAAAATTTGTTTTTAAAATTCTTTAAAAGCTCCCCTACATCTTCAGCTGGGTGCTCAGGAGCCAGTCTGCAGGTAATCCCTCTGCCGGGCACTCTGCAGTTTTCAAGGGAGCTTTCCCTGCCCTCTGAGCTGAAGCCCTTGAGCCGGAACACCCTGGCGGGGAAGTGGCCAGCTCATGTCCTCAGACGGCCAGGCCTCGAGAGCCCTGTGCAGCAGGGCGGGGGCACATTCTTCCGGAGCCCGGCCGGGCCAGCTGTGAGTCAGGCTCCGGCTTCTCAGTGATGCGAGAGTACAGCTAGAAAGCCTAGTTTATTCTTGCTTTGTTCTCAGCTGGCTTTGGTAGAAAGGAGAGGGATGAAAATCAGTGGGACTTGCTGCTCTGGCGTGCGCGTGTGTGCGACTGGGTGAGTGGAGCTGTTTCCCAGACACCTGGACGGGTGTGTCTCTGTGTCACAGCGAGGCTTGCTGTAAGGGACGAGAGGCCCCGGGAGGGTAGCTGTGCTAGATTTCGAGAGCGCGTTTGAGCTGGAGCCAAAGGGGCTGCTCTCGCCCAGCCGGTCAGTGAGGGCCCTAGCAATAAATACGCAGAGCTAGGGGTTTTAAAAGCTGTTGCTCAAGTTATTTGTGAATCTGAAAAAAGAAAAGCCCAAGCTTGTCCAATTTTAACTCTTTTGCTTCAGAATCCGGTGAGATGACTGCAGGGGCGGGTTTTAAATACTGACTTTCGGGTTTGTTTCCACTACGTTAAGCAGTGTCGAGCCTCCATGGCTCTGGTACGTTGGTTCCGTTTTCAGGCTCGGTTTGCCCAGCACTCAGTGGCGTGGTGATGAAAGGAAAGAGTTACTCTTCACTCGTAGGGGACCTGACCCAGCTTGAGACAGTGACTCAGTAACGCTGCTTCATTCATTCCCAGAAAGGAGCCAGGACTCCGGGGAGGCTGTCCAGAGTCAGTTTGGGCGCCGGCGAGTGTGCAAGCAACCCCGCCGCGCGCTGACCCGGGGTCCGCGTCAGCTCCCACCCC